CGGTGAGTGGGACGTCCAAGGTTGACATGTAGGAGATCGTGTGAAGAGGAGTTGAAACAGCTTGAACTAACATGGATGCAAGTGAAAAGTACAGCAGAAGACAGAAGCAAGTGGAGGCGTGCAGTTGAAGCCCTATGTTCCACTAGGAACCCAAGGGAATAAAAATAAATAATAATTATAATTATAATAAGACATGAAACTAATCCAAGAAGTTACGGCTGTTAATCTGAAGCTACTAGAGAGGCGCAGCTTGTACAGTTGTCGTCTTTGATATGCTAAAAATTAATTGTTGACGACTCTCAGTGAATCGGCTCCAAATGGATCACAATCTCTCAGATATAGACACTCCTTGCAACCTTCCATATTCATTAAATTCTCATTATTCTTTACGAGATTATTCGCTCTTTCACACATATCCACTGACTGCAGTTTCTCTTAATTTCCCTTCTCTACTATCATGTGTGCCTTCATCAAGTAATGAACTTTTGTCTATAGATATACATCAAAAATTTAGTTCACATTAGACTTTTCGCCCTGTGAAGGTTGACTTCTTCTTGGCGTATTCAAGGAGAAACATGGTTAGTTTTTCGTAACCTCAGGCACATATAATAACTGTTCTGGACTGGTCACACACACACATACGCGTGTTTTTTTTCTGAGGAAAACATCTAAACGTGCCCCGCACCTACTTTTCTACTTTTTGTCCAATCTCTACCCATCTGGTGTTTCTAAAATCTTAGTAACCAGAGAAATAGTAGAGTAATGTATATCGTCAAGCATATACTACTGATTACTTGATATGAGTAGTGGGAGGCCACTCGCATCAACCAGTAGTGCTTACAAGCCCTATTATAAAAGTGATCTAAACACCGGATGGTCATTTTCGTTGTTTGAAGTCTACGTCAACAACGGCATACCCCTACTTTAATTCATCTCAGTTCAAACCACCCACGTTCTAGCTAGCCACTTGAACGAAGTAGTAATACACGATTTGTAATGTATACAGTTTCCGGGGAAAGTTTTACAACACAGTTTGTTTTGGAAACTGAAACTGTTCATACAGCAAAGTAAGTGACATTTGTTTGACATCATAAATGGCTATCAAGGGACTAATAACTAGGACAAGAAACTCAGTTTTCAGGAAAATTATAAGTCACACTACACTATACTGAATATTTATGAACATTATTGCTTATTGTGTTTATGAATAGTTTATCGATTAAAAGTTAATGCATCATAAAAAAATAACAAAATAATGACAGTAAGTTTTGGAAAAATAAATGACAAATAACACATGATGGGTATAATCAAACAGCGGCATACATTTTAGGCAAGATAAGCAAGTTGATGTGTTTTTCAGCTTTCAAATGAATTATACATATTTATATAATTACCAATTTCCGATGTTTTCAATATCATGTGTTTGTAACAGAATTTCAAAATGATCTGAGATCGGTTAGAGAAGCATTGGAAAATCTGCAAGTACTGGATAGCTCCTTCGTCAGCTTAGTTTTTTGGGATTCTTCGTCAATAAATACCCACTAGAGCTCGATCCCAGGACCTTCCAGATTTTTAAGCCTCTGGGACCCTATACGATGGCCAGCCCGTCAATTCTAACTTCTGCCTATTCACGATATAGCGAGACCAATCTTTATCTAACTGATGTCAGCTCATGATGAAATCCTGTAACCAATCAAATCTCCGTAAACCAACACTTGAATATCAGTCTGATCCTCACTAGCGAATGGCCCTATTCACGTAGGTAGTCGAAAGTCGTGGCCAGTAAGGTGCAGCAGCAGGTCGCGTGTAAGCACAGATACTCGCCGATGACATTGGCTAGTGAACGCTCTATATCGTGAATTAGCAGAGATTGGATTTCATAGGACAGTGGATGAGGTCCCAGTGGTTTAACAATCTACTAGATCGCTCGCCCTAGTGGGTGCGTACCGATGAAGATCCCAAACTGGAACGAACATGTGGCTCTCCAGTACTCGCAGATTTTCCGATGCTTCTCTAACCCATATCAGCTCACGATGAAATCCTGTAACCAATCAAATCCCTAAAAACCAACATTAGAATAAATATATTTGCCTTTTTGGTTTAAGAACCAATCATTCAATGTGGCGATTTTTGTGACTATCGTAAACATTTCATGATAACATTGAGAAATTGGATAACTGGAATAATGCGTGTATTTTTAAAATATTTCCACTATAGAAGACACATGCATAGACCAAAATTAAATCCTACAATGGTGTGTAATATGGGTCAATAGGCACTACTCACATCAACCAGTAGCATTTGCTTTTCAGATCACAGCGAGCTAAACGCCAGACAGTCATTTCTCGCATTCACGTCCCAGATCACCATCAGAGATGTACCCAATTCGACTGAGCTTGTGGAGAGACGAGATAGAATTTTTTCCATTTCATTTGAGTTCCCAGGGGAACTTAGCACATCAAGCTTTAGCCTTTGAAGTTTCAGTAACAATTGTGTTGTTTTTTTTGTGCGGTGGGATCACTAGCTTCATGCCTAACCTTCTCCCTTTTCTGGACTTACTACGCGCCAATAAATTAAACATAGCTTAAGACTATGTCGACCGGGAAATGAACCTCGAACAATGCGCATGGTTGTAGAGCATTCTACTCTTAAACCACCAACGAACAAATAAAAGATTATCATTGACAAAAATATACCGCATATATTATGTAGCTCAGCTGGTACAATACCCGACTAGTAATTCAACAGCCACTGGTTCGAATTTTGCCACGACCTAGAATTTCACATCATTATCTGCAACCATAACGCATTAAAAAAATCATTAAAACCCCGGAAACTACAAAATTATCTTAGTCTCATTGTCACGTAATCATAATTTTTAGATATTTTAGTGGTGTGGCGTTATATCGTTATATTGTTATCATTATTCCTTCGAGTTCCTAGTAGGACATAGCGCTTCAACAGCACATCGTCATTTCACTCTATTCTCTTCAATTCTATCAGCTGGATCCACAATCGCCCGCATGATTTCATCTCCACCTCACACGATCTCCTCCATGTCATATTCTGCCCGACGCCTAACTCGCCGTTGCCCATCTGGGTTCCAATCGACTACCTGACACGCACTGTGTCCGATCCATCCCAATTTTCTTTGGAATATTTGTTAGGCCATCTGTTCTTACTTGGTTCGTTGTCAGAGTTCCTTGCTACCTATTCCTTCTCTGACCATCTAATCTTCAGTATCAAGCAAAGGCAGTTATTGATGAAAGTCTGTAGCCTGTTTGAAATGCCTTCCATGACGCGATTGTCAAGTTTTTGAATCCTATAGAAGAAGTGACTTTACAGTGGTGTTCAAAATCTAAGTCTTGTTCTTTGCGCTGATTTTAGCAGATTTCCGCAATGATTCCAGAGGAATGAAGGTGTGTCTTGCTTTTCCACTCCTGCCTTTGGAATTTTCATCCGTTCCACCTGCAGTCAAGATTATGCTGCCTAGATAAATGAAAATGGTGACATCTTCCAAATTCCTCTCTTTGATTGTGATTGGTTGGTTATTTTCCCGACTACTGTCTTCTACAAGCTCATTGGAAGTCTTGTCTTCTCTGCTTCCACTGACAACTTGTTCATTTTCGTCTGTAGATTTTAGACTTTGTATGACATTAGATATCATTCGTCCGAGAAGTCAAGGTCTTCTAGAGTCTTCTTACCAGTTCAACTTATTCCATTCTTCCGGCTCCCCGCAGTCTGCCGTATGATGCAGTCCACTAGAATCAGGAATATCATCAGTGATAGTAGGCAGCATTGTGGCAAGATTTTGTAAGCAGCACATTAAGTATGACCTATTTTTCAAGGATATTGAGTAACGGAGTTAAATTGCAAAGATGAGAAATGAAAGGTTCTTGTGAAACATAATATACAAAGTATGAAAGGAAGAGAAAAGAAGCAGAATATACATTCATTTAATATCATTAGCTAAGTGAACAGCTCTGATATCAAATACTGTCGTGTTCTGCCATTACAGTGACATGCATATAACAGACGAAACCAGCTCTGTTTTTGTTTTACCCTTCAAAAGAAATAGATTATACTCTTATAATATTATTAACTGGAAAACGCAGATGTATTTCAGGAATTTAGTAGTATACAATGGTTTAGAAGCTTGTGATTTCGTCTACAATTTAGTCGATATATAAAACTCCAATGGAAATCAGTTTAAACAGGTTATCTAAGCAGTTGGTGGGTCGCCAATTTGATGTACACTTTCATCAACAGCTGCCTTCTCTTCATACTGAAGATCGATTGGTCGAAAGAAGATTAGCAACAAGGAACTCTGGTAACTAACCAACCAAGAACCTATTGCTCAACAAACATGCCGAAGAAAATGGAGATGCAATCGGATCCTCTATTGGAAGCTGAGTGGGTGACAGCGAGTTAAACATAGGGCTGAGGGTGACATAGAGGAGATTGTGTGAGGCGAGAATGAAATCTTGTGGGTAATTGGGATCCAGCTAATAGGACTGAAGAGAATAGATTGAGTCATAAGAAAAAAGGCTCAATATGGGAATATTTCGTTCATTGAAGAATAGATTGAAATGACGATATGCTGTTGGAGCCCTACGTTCCACTTGGAACCCGAAAAGGATTAATAGTGATCTAGGCAGTTGGTGCATTGGTGGTTCAGTGGTAGAATGTCCGCCAACTACGTGGGAGGTCCGATGTTCAATACCAAGCCTACACACCCGTAAACGCCCCCTATCTCATTAGTCAACAGTAAGCCTGGAAAAGAGGCAAGGCTGGATGTGAAGCCGCTAGCACACTCACCTTGTAAAAGAAATAACACTATTGCTACTGAAACTTCACATGTCGAAGCAAAGAGATGGAAAAAAGTTCCAAGCAGTTAATCATCATTCGTTAAATCAAAGATAAAATGTCTACCAAAACCCTTTGGAAGAAAATACCAGCAAGAGTAATAAAAAGCAGTGGTAGGTTAAATAAAAACTTACAAAGAAAATACGACCTGGTCCTGTAGCCCGATTTAAACGTATACCGAATAATCCATTCAATTGACTAGCGAAAACGTGGACAGCAGATGCACATGTGAAACCACCCAAGAGTGGTGCTGACATATATACAACTAACATGCCCAAACGAAATATACCTAACAAGAGCTAGGGGAAAACAAAAATTTGTGAAAATTCAAAAAACAAACAAAAAACAAATAGGAGCTATCTAAGAACTTAACTACTATACAGAAGATAAGTGACTTGATTTTTTGGAGCATAACTTTGTAAAGGCTTTTATTAGTATGCCGAAGATAAATGGAGATGGGTCGAATATACGCTACTGAGGAGACTGTCGGATGACACTGCACGTCAGACAACCACGCGAGTGGAACCAGAATGGAAAACGATCACTGCGACGTTCAAAGGGGGGCATGAAGGAGATCGTGGGAGGAGGGAATGAGAGACTATAGGCAATAGCTGGGCCAGCTAAAGAGGATCGTAGAGAGTGGAATATCAGGCTTTTTGTGTTGTTGTATCCCCACGAGGTAGGGCTGATAACAGCCTGACACCCCAAAACTTCCTTCCCTCTATACCGGGCTTAATACTCACTACGCCAGGTTTACGAGTCCGTTAGCCAGCAGTTGAACGCAGATTATAAAAAGTCAGAATAAATATATTTTGGTAAGTTGATAATGACAGACAAGTTTCTGCTTACCCTCATGTTCCAAATGATCAGTATTATTAGTGCAGGTCTTAAACATAAAAATATGGCAACCTGTCAACTACTTTATGCGTTGTTTTGATTTTACTTTTAATACGACAGCTCTACAACACTGTGCAGCTGTCGCTCATCCTTTTCAGGGAGCAACTTTCTGTCACTGAAATACCAGAATATTTAAGCTTGGTGATATTAACATTGGATGCAAAATTATAAACATAGATTCAGACCTATTCATAGGATTGGGCAAAGAAAAATTCGCATACTCTTATATGCTATGATACTCAGTAAAATATACAATTCTGACGCCATTCTATGTAGGCGTGTAAGAACAGATAATGTCCACTACCAAACTCGATCTTCCCTTTCAGAAAGAAGGATTATTTGAAGAATCATAGAGTTGCATAATGTCACTTCATACCTCTTTATAGACAAAGTCATCATAGGTCAGCTGGTAGAGCCTACTAGGCCTGACAAGTCATTCATAAGGCTTGTCGTGTCAAATCCTGCCACGAACCAAATTTCAGTTTCATTTTGTGCATCATCACTGTGACCCGAGCAACACTAGCTAGAACGAATGTTTCTGCAGGTCCTACCATGCAAGAAAGGCCGTTTGAATAGAGTTTACACCGAAAGTAGTTACCATTATGCTAGAAGTTTGAAGGCTACACACACACAACTATAAAAACCATTAAAAACACTAATATTCCTTGTGTTTCAGCCATTTCAAGAAGAAAGCAATCACTCACACACTTCCATATTGGAGAGAAATGCTCAGTCTTCGTTGACACGTCAGTCCTTAGTACGGGAGCATCAGTGATGTCTGAACATTACCATAATGCTATTTGGTTGATGGTGATAAGCAGTGGGATACACGATGCCATTTACGTTGTATTTGAGAGTCGTCAAGTTGGATATACTTACCTACACCATCAATCACTGGGTACACAGATACATCCAGCTGACGAATCCCATACGGGGTGCGCATCCAAGATTCTATTGCTAGTCACCATCAACCAAACAGATATGAAAATGTCATTTTTAATTAGTATTATTATTAAATATGTACTTTTTGATGGTGAAATTATTTACTAATTTTGTGAGGAATATTAATAAAATAAAACACGTGTTCAGGTTTGAGCTGAATAGGTTCTGATCAGTGTTCAGTATTTATGTTCATCGTTATCACAAAGTCCGCAAGTGTTAGGTTTTTTACACTATGCTGGGGGTCTGAGGGCAAAGTTGTACCACTGGGGAACAGGGATCGTTGACGAAATGTCAGCATGGATACAGAAGGCTCGTGTTGCATTTGCCAACCGACGTCATCTCTGGAGCAGAAAGAAATATCCAATTGTCAACCAAAGGACGTGTATACTGCTCAGCCGTTCACTCCATCCTCCTGTATGGCTGTGAGAAATGGCCAATGAAAGTGGAAGATGCGAAAAGGCTAGGTGTCTTTGATCATAGGTGTCTGAGTTCTATCTCCCGTGTTAAGTGGTATATTAGGGTGAGCAGTATTGAGGTTAGGCATTGGTCGAGTGCTAGATAAAGAGAGGAAATCAATCGACGAGGTTGTGAAGTTACATCGATTGAGACAGTGGTTGGAAAAGAGCTACCTAGTGGTGGTCGGCCGAAAACATGACATAAGTCAAGGAAATCTACAACAGCTAGTTTAAGCCAGCCAGGCACGTAGGGAGGTGTAGACTTTCTGACTAGCTGGGATCCTCAGGATGGCAAAAACCAATGGCAACTGGAGACAATTGGTGATCTGGCTCAAAGTCAGTCTCAGTGGTGCAGATGAATTCACTCTTTGTGATTTATAATATCCAATAAAATTCTATTGTTATTCTGTATTATTATCATTATTTTTGCCTCACTGCTTTCGACTCTGTTCCTAGATGTCTCCTGCTAAATAAGCTCTCTTTGACGAAAACTAAGTCCTGGGTCACTAACTGGTTGCATTCCTACTTCTCTAACAGAATGCAGTACACCGTATACAAAGGTAAATCATCCTCTGCTGTACTCACTGAAGCCGGAGTCCCCCAAGGCGCTGTACTCTCCCCACTTCTCTTTCCTTTCTTTCTACATGACTTACCATCTTCAAATGACATTGATTTTGTCAAATACGCTGACGATCTGTCTGTATCTTTGCCTATCAAATGTCAAAGCGACTGCTCTAAACTTAATGGCTTTCTGTCAGAAATCAGCCAGTGGTCCAAGGAAAATGGTCTTACCCTAAACCCCTTCAAATGCCAAACGGTCGATTTCACCTTTAGGCATAAATCCGACCTAAACAAACTATTTGGCTCTCATGAGGTATGCAACATAGACGGCACTGAAATAGAAACTAAATCGGAAATTAAATACCTAGGTGTCATTCTATCTGCTGATCTCTCCTGGTCGTCTCATATATTAGCAATTTCTAAGAAAATATTCCGTATTACCTTCTACATTAGGAAGTTAAAACATTCTGGTATTACCCAACCCTTACTCCTACAATTCGTTAATTCTCGCATCCTGCCTATTATTCTCTATTGTTCCCCCTTAGTTTTTCCCGGGCTACTGAAGAAAGACTATAACATATTACGCAGGATGTTAAATGTTGTCAGCAGGGTAAGCAACGTGCCACTTAACCAGCTTGTTAATATTCTGGTTGACAGGCACATGGACTCATGTGAAAAATGGGCCAAATCCATTTTATCTAACTCGCACCACCCTCTTCATTCACAACTCTCCCCTTGCATCTCATCAGGTAAAACCAGAAGCCAATATAGAAAACTATATGCTCGCACCAGCAAGTACAAAAACTCAACCATACCCTACTTAGCTCGTGTTCTGTGTGATAAAGAAAGCATTAGGCGTGACACTTATAATTCATTAAATAGTCAGTAGTACAACTGGATCTCGTCTTTCCAACCCACATCATCAATAGGTACAACATTTTCTTTCTTTCTGTTCCTTTTCTCTCTCTTCTTTTTCCGTTATGTGCTGCTTTGTCTCTTTCTCTCGCTTACGCCAGTTAATAAGACAGCTCCCACTTTTCTAACACCTTCAAACACTGTTTCTGCTTTACCTTTGCTACTGACATACCAATGTATTGTTGTAATAATGAACTGTTGGTTTCCTTAATCTATGTAGAATTCTATTTATTGATAATGTACTAACTGGATGCAATACTGTAGTAAAAATGCTGAGAATTCCATTCTGTATCACAAGTACTGTTTTGGAATAAAGCAAATTATTATTATTACTATTATTATTATAATTATTATTATCTGTCTTTTGAACCTCCCTTACTCTATCCCATTTGGTTTGTGTGGCACATGGAGTGTGGCAACTCGAACTGCTGAGCTTCTGTGAAAAGTTCTATGTTGAAACCAGTCAGTCAGTATCTGAAGGGTTGAGACAATGTCGCATTATATCATAGTGATTTACATGGTTCTGATGTAGACGTTATTACTTGCTGTATGAAGTCTGAATGCTCGACAAAAGTTCGGCTATCCCTCTGATTTTTCGTGTGTTTTAAAAAAAAAATTTTAATATCTGGATATAAACATGAGATTCTGTGCAGAGAAATTCAATTAAAAAAAAAGGAAAACAAATTCCAACTTACTTGGAATATTCCGCCTAGAATACAAACAGTCACAACAATCTTAACACGAAAATCATCTAAATGAGTTTCATTGAAAACTTGATATTTTTCTAAGGAACGATTGTTTGTATCGAATTTTGCGACTAGTCTGTCGACAGGATCAGACGTCAATAGGGCAACAACAGCAAAAGTACCTGTAGACGAAGAAATATTTACTAGATTATACTGAGTTAGAGTTATGCATCTAAAATAAGTAATGTAACTACCAATTTCGAGTGTAAAAGTAATGAGAATACTATTATTATTATTCCCTTTGGTTCCGAGTGGAACATAGGGCTTCAACAACACATCTCCACTTTCTCCTATTTTCTGCCATTCTCTTCAGCTGGGTCCACAATCTCTCATCTCTTCCTCCCACGATCTCCTCCGTGTCACTGTCGGACGACCCACTCGTGGTTTACAGTGAGGGCCTCCATTGCTCGCGATGTCACTAAATGGTCTCTTCAGTGTATGCCCAATCCATTTCCATTTCCTCCTACGTGTTTGTTGGGCGATAGGCTCTCGCCTGTTGGTTTGTTCCCCGCCAGAGTTTCTTGTTACTAATTTTTTCTGATAATTTGATCTTCAGTATGGAGCGAAGGCAGCTGTGGGTGAAAGTCTGCGACCTGTTGGAAATCTTTTTTATGACACGCAGTGTAAGTTTCTGACCCGTATAGAAGGACCGACTTTACACTGGTGTTGAAAATGCAAATCTTGTTCTTTATGCATACCTCCTTTCGTAGCACCCTATGAGGTTGTTGTCTAGTAAGAGACAATGACAGCTTTGCAGTTAAGCTGTCCAGTTCAGAGGAAAGAACAATATTTAAGAGATCAATCATTCTGGTAGGATTCACTGATAAACTGCTGTCAGCAGGTGGATGGATGCAATATTTTACAAATAATAATTAGTTTAGTGCAAGTACGTGATACAGGTGACTGAAAGTAATTGACTGAGTTTTCAAAATAAAATTTTGTCCAGCAGTGCAGAAGTTCACATTGCCATACTCCACATAAAGATAGAGAAAAAAGAGTTTCAAAAGAGTTATCATAAGTAGAGATGTAAGGGAAAGAGAATAGTAACAAGGAAAGAGTGAATCATATTTGCGTCACTGAGGTCGATTTCGAGCCACATCACCAATAGTCTTCAGCCATTGGTTCTTAGCATCCCAAGGACTTTAACCAGGAAGTCTATACCTCCTTCTGAGACTAGTTCAAACCAACCTTCAAAGACTTCATGGAGTGATGACAGGTTTCGGTTTGACCAAACTTATATTTCAGTTAACATCTCTCGACAAGGGAGGCGATGACTCAGCATGCACAACACGTGTCCTAGTCATTTCAATCTTTGTAGCTTCACAGCTTCATCGATTGACCTGCTCTGCTTAACTAGCACTTTACGTCTAACCTTGGCATTATTCACCATATTATACCACTTAACACGAGAGACAGAATACAGACGTCTATAGTCAAAGACAACCAGCCATTTCCATATCTTCCGCTTTCATAGTTTATGTTTCATAGCCATAAAGGAGGACTGGAATAAATTGAATATTTTCATTGGACACTAGTAACTGGTGTGACGTGTCTAGTCCTATCTTTGGTGCAGACTGAATTCTATCAGTCAGGTTGCAATGTGGCCACCATGCTAGGTGGCTCGCCATTACGGTGCACTGTGAATTCTTGGTATTAGATGGTTGGAGGCAATCGGCAGGAAGCCTTGGACCTAGGTTTCATGCTAGTTGGCACTCATCAGCAAGGCGTATCTGCAACTTTGAGGGAAGTGATGTCCCTTCTGAGATTCAAACACGCGTCACCCAGTGCTGCAGTCAGAGACGTTACCACATTGGAAATACCTGGCTGAAAGAATTTAGTCTGCACCAAAGAAAGGACTAGACACATCACACTAGTTACTAGTGTCCAATCAAAATACCCACTACAGTCCTACAGGAGGTCAATCGCCAGCCCGAATAGCTCAGTAGTAACGTCTCTGACTGCAGCACTGGGTGACGCGGGTTCGAATCTCAGAAGGAAATGAGTTGCCTCAAGGTTGCAGATACGCCTTGCTGATGAGTGCCAACTAGCACGAAACCTAGGTCAAGTAAGGTTTCCTGCCGATTGCCTCCAACTATCTAATATCAAAAATTGAATATATCAGAAATGTCTCAAGGGTTCCTTCGTTTATTTTAAAGTCAATGTTAGGAATTCTGAACATTTAAAACTTTGAAGTAAGAGAAATAATATCATACTCAAATTCATTTGAATATAGTTAGAAGACTTCCCGGCCGATAACTGCTACCTTGCCGTGGTGGTCGGGCTTGAATGCCGCAGTGACCCAACAAGCTAAACTGGCTGGGACTCATGTCCCTGCAGGTCCTACCATGCCAGGAAGGTTGTTTGGATAGCGGTTAGACTAAAAGCAGTTACCATGGGGTACATGGGCTCCAGAATCCAATCGGATCAAATGGCGTATGAACCTATATGGGTCACCGGCAACCATGGGAACGCAGCTCCTGACGCTGCTCCGCTGCCTTGCGGATTAGACTCCAAGTCAAAGGCTCGGGGGGTGGTCCCTTAATAAAACCACCTGCTTCGGTCTGGGCGCCCGGGCAGTATCTCAGCCCGCACACAATGAATGAATTGAAACAACGAACTCACATTGAAACTCAACGTGCGCTAGTAAAAATGATTCCAAGCAATACTGATCCCTCAAGCAACTTATTTCCTTCCTATCTTACTTTTATTTTTACACATAGTTTCCTGTATTTTACCTTTTCTAACCTTGGCTTCCTAACCTTCGACAGCCTTTCGCCTTTGTCGAGATTCCCAGCCTATCCGTGTCGTTTCGAGATGTTAGTGAGTAGTCCTCAAAATGGTTGTTCCCAATGTGACTTCTAACACAGATATCCTGAAACCGCGTGCCGCGTTCAAGCTGGCCACCTACAATGTTCGGACACTGATGCAAATCGGACAACAGGCAGGGTTGGCAAGAACTTTGGAAAGCCTCGCTATCGATGTCTGCCGCATTTCGGAGACCCGCATTCAAGATCACAGTGAAGTGCTTGGACTGTCCTCTCCATTTGGAAGTTCTAGTAGTATGTACCACTTGCGCTTATCCGGGGACCCTGTGGCATCAGCATCCGGCGTAGCTGGTGTCGGTGTCGCACTGAGCGCCAGAGCCGAAGCTGCACTGCTCGACTGGATTCCCATTAACAGTCGTTTATGTGCTGTGAGGCTGGAAGGTTTTACGAAAGTAAGGACTAGTAGGCCAGATAGGCGGTGTCTATTTGTTGTCTCTGCCTATGCACCGACGGATTGCAGCCCGGATGCAATGAAGGATGAGTTTTATTACCAACTGAGCGATCTGTTGAAACAGGCGGGTCGGAGAGATATCGTAGTGCTAGCTGGGGACTTGAACGCACAGGTCGGGCGTCTAAGCTCAGAGGAGAGTCGTCTAGGTGGTCAGTGGGGACTACATGGTCGCAGGTCAGATAATGGGGACCGTCTTCTGCAGCTTTGCGCGGATCACAACCTATTTCTAGCCAGCACCAACTTCCGGCACAGCCATCGCCGTTGCGCTACCTGGCGTCCTCCCTCTGCGAAGCAAGCTTGGACTCAGATTGATCATATTGCGGTCAGTTTCCGGTGGCGAGGATGCATACAAGACTCGCTCCTTCTGGAGCACATGCCTGGACTCCGATCATGCGTTAGTGTGTGCCAAGTTCGTCTTGCGATTTGGTGGGGTTCGTAAAAACCGTCGTCTAAGCGTTGATGTGAGCAAACTAGTAGCACCTGCTACTTCTTTGAAATATCAGAACGAGTTGAAAACAATGCTTGCCAGCAACCCCCCAAATAGTATAGATGAACACTGGCTTCATGTGCAAGGTGCCGTGCAAAAGGCGAGTGTAGCCGCTTGCGGCTTGAAAGAATGCTCCGCTAACAACCACTGGGTTTCTGCGAGTTCCTTGCAACTCATGGATGAACGCCGGTCCATTCCGGCTGGCAGTGAATACAACAATCAGCGAAAGGCGCTCACGCGCAAGATTAGACAGTGTTTACGTAAGGACCGCGAAGCCTGGTGGTCAGAACGTGCGTATGAGATGGAGTCAGCTGCTGCATCTGGCAACAGTCGGAAGCTGTTCCAACTCATACGAGCCACCGGCAGCAAGAAACAAGGTGTCAGCGAGACGGTCTGTGAGGCAGATGGCACTCCAATTACCAGCCTGGAACGCTGGGCAAAGCACTTCGGGAAGCAGTTCAGCTGGCCACCAGCTTCATTGTCTACTATCACTAGCCCGAGTGCTCCTTGGTCGGTTAGTACCGACCCACCCACCGAAGCGGAGGTCCGTAAGGAACTCCAAGTTCTGAAACGCCATAAGGCGCCCGGCCCAGACAAATTACCCCCGGCTCTTTTTAAAGAGGGTGGCGAGACTCTCATAATGGCTCTAACTGGGTTGTTCAGGAGGGTGTGGGAGACAGAGAGCGTACCATCAATGTGGAACGAAGCCATTATCGTCCCCATCTTTAAAAAGGGTCGACGTAATTCCTGTGACAACCATAGGGGTATCAGTCTGTTACCAGTTGCGTCTAAAATATTGGCTGCTGTCATGCTTCGCAGACTGTGTAAAATACGCGAAGGATTGATTCGCAAAGAGCAGGCTGGGTTTCGTTCAGGTCGTGGATGCATTGATCATGTGTTCACCCTTCGTCAGTTGTTGGAACACCGCCACACGTATTGCAGGCCAACGATCGTTGTGTTTCTTGATATTAAGGCTGCCTTCGATTCGCTGGACAGAACTGTGCTCTGTAACTGTCTGTTAGAGAGAGGTGTAGCTGAGAAATTTGTTAACATCTTGAAAGTCCTATACAGAAACACCTCAGGTAGAGTGAGGGCATACAACCAACTATCACCACTGTTCCCAACCAACAGTGGGGTTAGACAGGGTTGCCCAATCTCACCATTTCTCTTTAACTTTGCCATCGATGACATTCTGGAGTCAGCTCTGAAGGATGTGCGTGAAGGTGGTGTAGATCTGCTACCTGGAGATAGACTTTTCAACCTCGAGTATGCAGACGATATCGTCTTACTGTGCGATAGCATGCAGGCTGCCCAAATCGCACTTAATCAGTTGGCGATCAGTGTCTGTAAGTATGGTAT